ATTTTAGTAGTTTATTTCTGTGTACATTAAGCTTTTAAAACTACTTTTCTTAATGAATATACAAGGCATAATAGTAGTTATATACAAATATATATATTCTGTAAAAGTCATTAAATCCAGTTAATGAGTGTTACTTGGTTAGTGTTGTGAATTACCTGTTTTTTTAAGTATATGCAGCTACTTGTTTATACATCGTGTTGTTAGTATAGAAACCAGATATTATTTAGTGATAAGGAATATAAGGACGAAATATGCATACTTCTATACAGGCTGTTTCAAAAAGGTATGTTATAAATTAAATCACGCATTTCGAGGACAAAAATAAATTGATTGAATCCAACTTACCTTAGTACAGGGTTTCCCAACCTTTTCTTTGTTGGGGCTCCCCGGACTATAAATTAAATTTTCATGCCCCCCCCCTTTACTTTTTTAATAAATAACAAAAAACGCACATTATATACTTAAAATTTTATTTAAATTCTAATAAATAAATTTTAAAAGTTTAATTAAACTAGTACATGTTTTTTATCAAAAAAATTAAATTTAACAAAGTAAATATTAATGAGACACTTGAGATTTCATATTCTGTACTATTTGGTTGATTCTAGGATCTGTTTTTGCCAGAGCTATCATCAGGTCGCTATCGACATCAAGACGATTTCGCTGTTTAGTTTTAATTAAAACTAGAACAGAAAAGTCTGTCTCACATAAGTAAGTTGAAGAGAAAGGAACTAGTATTCGTAAAGCAAGAGAGGCAACCTTCGAATTAACAGGCAATCTTTTAATCCAAAATTTCTCCAATGTCAAGAGATGGAAGTCATCTTTCATGGACCAGTCAGCCATCATATCTAGAAATTCTTTCTGAATTTCTTCTGGTAATTGGAACACATCAACAACAAATGGATTTCTTGTCATACGCCATATTGGTGACTCTGAATTGATGTCTCGATAGTATCGGCGAAATTCGTCTTTCAGCGCTTGCAAATGAGTTTTTATGTCAGCTTTCAAATTTGCGTCAAGTATATAATTTTTAATTGCTTCGAACAACCGAGAAAAAGACATAACATTTTCAAGAAGAGATTTTTTGATTCCAAAGTTGAAGCTTTGATATGAACCCCTGAATATAATCATAATTGCTTATTAAAGTGCCGTTACTGCCCTAAAGTTTTAAGTTTAGTTCATTTAAGGCATCGAATATGTCAGCTAAATAAGCCAACCTCCATTGAAATGTGTCATCTTTGAACATTGTGAAGAAATCGTGTTTTTCTTTGAACTCGAAGAAAAAAATTACTTCTTCTTTCAATTCATAAGGGCGAGCCAACATGTTGCCTTTGGATAGCCAGCGTACTTCTGTATGGAACAAAAGAACTTAGTGATCAGAATCGAGATCCTCGCAAAGTAAAGTAAATAAACGACTGTCCAAAGCGCTGCTCTTAATCTAGTTTACAATCCTTATAGCCGAGTCCAAAGTCTGGCGTAATTTCTGTGGTAATGTTTTGGAAGCCAAAGCTTGCCGATGAATAACACAATGTGTACTAACCATTGAGGGATTTTTTTCTTTGAGCTTTTTAGCTAAGCCCGATCGTACACCTATCATTGCAGGTGCGCCATCTGTGCAAAGTCCAATGAGTTTATTCCAATGCAAGTCATGTTTTGCAACAAAATTTGATATTGAATTAAATATATTCTCAGAAGTAGTACCTGCTGTCAAAGATTGGGAGTACAAAATCTCTTCTTCAATGATATCTCCGCCGATGTAATGAACATACACTATTAACTATGCACAATTAACGATGTCGGTGGATACATCGCAACTAATTGCAAAAAATGGCGATAATTTTACTTTGTTGATTATTAGTGACTTTAGGTCTGCTGCAATGTCATCGATTCTACGCTTGACTGTATTATCCGAAAGAGAAATAGATTTCATTTTTTGCTCTGCATCTTCTCCTAAAATTATCTGCGTGGCTTTTAGGACACAGTTTTATTAATTCTTCACCAATAGTATGAGGTTTCTTTTGCTTTGCTATCATAAAAGCTATTTCAAATGAAGCTTTGAGATGCTGCGATACACCTTTGTGATAACTTCCCGATTTATCCAATCTCATCCGCTTGAGTGATTCTGCTTTAGAAGAAAAAAACTCTTGCGTCTTCAAAACCAGAGTAGGATGTTGTACCTTCAAATGTCTTTCAAGGCGATTGGGCCTCATGCTATCATTGCTTAAAACTTTCATACATATTACACACTGAGATAACTGTAACTCGTCTTTTTCTATGAAGGTAAATCCAAACTTAATATAATCTTCGGAAAACTTTCTTTTTTTCGCTGTCATTTTGCAACCTATAACAATAAAACAGTAATAAATAAACAAGCAAAATACCTACATGTTTTTACTATTTATAAATGCCCATTTATCTTAATAATGTAATGTATTTAACGTTTCATAATTAATTCGCCACGTAGGTTTGATTGTAATGTGTTAAAAAAGATTAAATGATCGATCTACGAACGCATCTTAGCTCAATCAATAATTTAGTAAATTAAATAAAAATGACAACTGTAGTTTGTAAATACACAAAATTATCTTTTAACAGTGAAACACAATAATTATACACACTCAAACTAATTTCTCAGCAACAAATTGATACCGAAACGTCAAATTTTTCGTAAATTTGTGTGAATTTATGTCACAGATGCTCATGCATGTCCGGTAGGTACTCAACTATTTTCTATCTACCTATGATCTAATCCTAATTCCTAATGAACGGTATGCGGAATCGGTGCGGAGGGGTTGCGTGCGGATTTCATGTAGTGGCTTGTCGAAACTTAAATAAACTGCGATTGACGACGTTGGTGTCGGGTTTTGAAACGGTTGTTGACATATTTAATTTCATTAATTTTATCCGTGTAAATTAAACATTACATTGTAATATTATTTGTAAATGTTGTTTGATTTTTTTTTCTTTCTAAAATCGCAAACGTCTTCCGCCCCCCTTGACATCTTTCTATGCTCCCCTTGGGGGGCATGCCCCCCTGGTTGGGAACTCCGGCCTTAGTACAAAATATATTTTTTTGCAATATCTCCGAAACTACTTGATATTTTGTAATAAAAATGAACACGTTACTTTGTTGTTCTAAACATATTTTCATAAAAAAGAAACAACAAAATCTAAGCGTAGAGAAAAATTTTAAGGGGGGTGTGCAGCCCTAAATCCCCCCAAACTTTTGATTAAGTTCAAATCAAATGAATTTTGTGGCATCATTAGATTAACACATTATTTTTAAAAATGTTTTGCCTCCTATCACTTTTTTTAAAAAAACAGTTTTTATTGAGTTACGGCTCTTTTCATTAACCTTTAATAAATTACGTGCAACTAAATAAATGGCTTAAATGAATTAACAAGTACAAAAAATGTCTATAACCTTTATAAATATAATATTACAATAAATGTTCAAAATGACCCCAATTTTCTTCAACACACCTTCGGTATCGTTTTAATAAGAAAAACTGAATGCGCTGAAAAATCATATTTTTCTGAGGAAATTAATTTGCAGCTTCAATAATTCTAAGCCTAATTTGGCGACTTTTACCAAATTTTATAAAGCATCAGTTAAAGATGCTTATTTTTTGTATTTTAAAGCAGTCTAAAACATTCTAGGACTAACGGTAATCAAGATATGGTTTGTCGAAAAGTGAGGCTTGCAACAATTTGTATATATCTAAATGTACAAGGAAGTTATAACTAAAAATTAAAAAATATCCAAAATCGTATCACACTTTGATGAACTATAGCTTTGTAACCGTTAGTCCTAGAGTATTTTACAATAAACTATTTTACCTAAATGTACAAGAAAAAAAGTTATGAGAAATTTAAAAAATAGCAATAAAACCAAAAATTGTTAAAAGGAGAACCGTGTATTGCTTAAAATTAGTCCTAAAACCTTTTACAATGGACCATTTTAATCTTAAGGGCTACTACCAACGTCATTTTAAAGAAAAAGGATACAGTTTATTATGTTGTAAAGTAGCACTTATACTGCCCTACTAAGAAAGAACCCCGTATCTCCAAAATTTGAAAAATCGAGATTTTTGCACCATATGAATAATTATGATTTATAGAACATATTTACATAGAGAAAAACTCGTATTTTACATTGCTAAACATGCTAAAAAAAATAGATTCCCCGTAAACGCCAAAAATGACTATTATGCTTAGTATAAACCTGGCATTTACCGCTTCTTAGTAAAAACCTGGTATATGCTCAGCAAATACGGGTTTTTAACGTAGGATAAAACGATATGCGAGGTTTTTTCTAAGGAATAGAGCAACGGCGCTAATAACGCCGTCAGTACAATGTTTTAACTAAGCATATTAACGCGTAAATCGACATTTTATTATCTTGTTTCGACTAGTTAAGACGTTGTGTGGTTATTAGTTTTGTTAATGACAAAAGGCCGAAAATAATTCGTTTGGTAAGTTTATATTTTTATAATACAATTTTATTATATTAGAGATAACCTAAATTCTCTTTTTAATTTCAAATGTTTAAATTCTTTAACAATTGTTTTGTTAGCAAAATCACAGAAAATATTTTTTGTAATTAACGTATGTTGTGTGTTTATAATATGTACTAGGGTGTTTAATTAACAATTGGGAATATTTTCAGTGTAGAATCTTGAACTCTAAATATTAAAATTTAACACAAATCACTTAGATAAAATATGGCTCGTTACTGACTTACAGGGTACTTTGCTTGTATAGTTGTTCGATTTTTGATTTGTTTATTTTTATATACATATGGGCCTTTATATAAATATTTATATATAACTATTACTTATTAGATATGTCTTCGAGGGCAAAGAAAATTATTGAAATGGCGCAACAGATACTGATTGGACGCAACGTCGGATTCCTATATTTACACAGAAGATGATACTCAGCTAAGTGTTCTGGAATCATTACCTTATCCTTTAACTTCTTCCACAGAAGAAATAGACATGGTTGAACCAAATAACACTGACGGGTGTTTTATTAAAATATCCCCTAACATTGATGGTTTTTGCATTCAGCCAAGTACTACTGAAAATGATAATGTAGAATTAATTATGTTTACCAATGATATAGATCTTGGCATAAATGATAATCAAAACATTTTAGATATACCTACTAGTATTACAATTAACGATAACATTTTAATAACAACACACCAGCCTATTGCAAGTAACGGTAAGTCTGCAAGCGATTACTTAAATTCTATATAAAACGGTTATACATTTATAGGTCCACAAGAAGTAAATCAATCAACAACAGACAACACTATCGAAACTAGTCAAAAAACACCAAATTATGTAGAAAATCAGCCACCAACATATGTTGATCAAGGTTTGTGTAATTTCTCTATAACTCATGATTTTTTTTTCTAATGTTTTATTTTTGTAGGTAGACCAAGTTTAACAAAAAAGGGAAAACTTAGAGAAAGAAAGAATTTTGACCTATCGTTAGATGAAAGAAAAAAGATAAAATGTTTGGAAATAAAAGAAAAACATAAGGTTCAAATGCCATGTAACGCCAGCAAATGTAATACAAAATGCTCTGAGAAGATCGATCAAGATAGACGAATAGCAATAAATAAAATGTATTGGGATCTAAATTGGATGGGGAAGAAAACATACGTTCTTAATTGTATCAACAGGGCTCCGGTAAAAAGAAGAAAATCAGGATCTTCAACAAAACAGAACAGCTTTAAGTACTTTTTAAAGAACTCAGAAGGTCAAACACAAAATGTGTGCAAGATATTTTTTCTAACGACTCTGGATAAACAATGATTGGGCGATCCAAAGTTTTGTACAAAAAGATGTTTTTAAAAAACGAGAAATAGCCCCTCTTCCTGATAAACGTGGTAGACATGCATCTAAGTATAAAATTTGTGAAAAAGTTATAGAAGAACACATAGAGTTATTTAACCCAGTAATTTCACATTACAGAAGGGAACATGCTCCAAATCGCCGCTACTTGCCAAGTGATCTAAGCATTAATGCAATGTACAAAAACTTTCTAGAAACTCATCCTGATATGAAATGTTCATACGAAGTTTATAGAAAGGTAATTAAAAGTAAAAACATCTCATTTACAAAATTGGGGCACGAGGAATGTGAGCTTTGTGAAGGGTTTCAATTACACGATAACGCACATAAAATTGATACAACTTTAGACAAAAATTGTGAAGTATGCCAGAAATGGGAAATACACATTAAAAGAGCAAACCGGTCTAGAGAATTATATAGACAATATTGTGAAGCAGTTCCTGAACCAAATACGGTAAGAGTTTCAGCAGATCTGGAAAAAGTAATAATGCTTCCTCGCATTGATATGTTTAAAAAGGTTTTATTTACCCAAAGAATAGTGGTGTTTAACGAAAGTTTTGTACCATTGGGAACATTGGGAAAAAATAAGCCTTTTGCAGCATTATGGCATGAAGCAACCTCAGGTAGAAGCAAGGAAGCTATTATTAGTACTTTTTATTCATTTATGTTGCACTATCGAGATGCAGAGCATTTTGTATTCTGGGTAGATAATTGTTCATCACAGAACAAAAATTGGGCATTTTTTCTTTTTTGATATATATAATAAATTCCAATAAAATTGTAGCTCAGGATATAACTATAAATTATTTTGAACCGGGCCATACATTTATGTCCGCCGATAGCTTCCACCACCAAGTGGAACTATCGTTAAAGAAAAAAAAGAAAGTTTATGATTATCATGACTTCGTTAAGGCCGTTAAAACGTGTAATTTGAATCGTGTGGTAGTGAAAGAAATGGGGGTTTCCGATTTTTTAATCTGGAAAGACTTATCATCACAGTCAAAATTAAAGAAAACAGAGTCACGTATTTACCTATCACAAATTGTTAAAGTAATTGTGAAGAGAGAGAGCAAGATTTTACACGTTAAGATTGACGATAGCGAGGATTTGATAGAGATGGACTTTTTGCAGGCTAAAGTGTTAAAATCTGGAATAAAGGACCCCATACCTGTGACAAAACCTTCTGGGATTGCTAAGAAGAGAAAAGAACAAATATTAAAAAATTTAGGTCAAATTATACCGCGAACCGCCATCAATTTTGGGAAGAATTGCCAACTCCGATTAATAATAATTTTTATTTTGTATTTTTAAATAAACGTTTTTCGTAAATACTTGTTTTATTCAATAAATGTTCATAAAAAATATTATTAAAATATTTAAGTGTTTTGCCTCTCGAGGAAGTTATATAAATTTTATGATAATTACATAGTTAAAACCAAGCTTAAGACAAATTTGAATAATACGTGGTTTTAGCTAAGTAAACTTGACATAATTCTTTGCTTTGTTAACCCGTATGTCGCATAACTTATGTCCATATGATAATTTTGCAATTTTTTTTTTTTGAAAAAAGTTAACTACAATGCTACACACTCTACCGTAAATGATTTTATGTTATTATTGTACCAAAAGTACAAGGGATTAGACAAAAATCTTTAATCGCGTTTTTCTCAAAACTCGCTATAGTGGAGATACGGGGTTCTTTCTTAATAGGGCAGTATACCTATACACCCGTGGAAAAAGTTATTGGGCAAGAAATATCCCGTGTTTTCGTGTTTTTATGCTTCGTTTTTGAATATATTTTTCACTTCAAAAGTTGATATTTTGATAGGAAATTTAATTTTGAACAACTTTTTTGTAAATTTTGGCATCCCTTTAAATAGTAGTACTCCGTGATTTTTTCATCTTTGGGGATCCATTGACCATTTGAAACAATAAAATCCCTTTAACATTGTAGTTCCTTTTAACACTCTTTTTTTTTGACAAATTCAATAGCCTATTAGTAAACATATTTTGTCTCAAGGGAAAAATAGAAGATCGAAACATAGTTTAGCCATAAACCTTCTTAGATTTAAGATTTAGGATACAAACTCTTTAATTTTCCCTTCTTTTCTCTTTGTAGATAAGAAAAAGTCTTGGTTATATCGAATCTGAGCATACTTTTTCTTTCTCTAGTAATATTTCTTAATGAATGTTGAAACAATGTTGATAAAGTAATTAATACATAGACATTCCTACATACCAGTAAAGCACAAATTAAGTCCTAAGATCCAAAAGTTAATAAAAACAAGTAAGATAAAATCGTCGAACACAAGCATCTTATTAATTTGTAAATTAACGTCCGTTTCAACATTTTAAACATCCTAACACGTTAATTTTATATATTTTATAGCGTTCGATATGATCTATCACGAATGACCGCATGCTCCGTGATTTAATGTTAAGATTCGAAGTTTTGTTCGTTGTTTGTCGGCGCATTTGTTGTGGATTTAATTAATTGAATATCTTTATTAGCACGTCGTTCGCCGACGCGCTATAGAACACACGAAACGTCGACGATGTGACACAAAAGACACATGTTCGGATTTATACCGGAGAAGCGATCGGAGATAAATTTGTCAATGTAATTAAATGGATACGAGGATACGAAGTTGTAGAAGGTGAATAGGACTTGTTCTTTGTTATGGGAAAATGATTTTATGTCGATACTGGTTTGAAATTGGTATTACTTATAAATAAAATTATAGACAAATAGATAGAAATAATACAATGAAATGAGAAAAAGCTAGGGCAAATTTAATTGACACAAATTATAAATAAAGAATAAAGTTTAGGTCTCAAACTAACTAGAAGTGTAGAATTAACTAGAAGTGCTTAAATATTTACTAAACGACATAGAAATTCGAACATCCATTATAAATTATTTTATTTCAATACAATTTGGTACACAAAAAACAATAAACGATTATTTTATTCTGTAAAATTTGCTAACCATTAAAAACTTTTAGGTTTAATACCGACCAAAATCCATATCGGCTTTTGTGAAATATTCCAGTCGTCAGAGGTTTTACCCCTAAAAATCATAAGAACAAGCTGAATTTTACCGAGAATATAAATTTTTGGGACACCAAAAAAGATGCGAAAAGTTTCCCACTTTAACCCCCGGGCTTTCCTCTAAAACCCCCCTCATAGGGGGGTGAAAACACAAAAAAATCGATTTACCAAAAATCTGTAACTCGCAGAAAAAAATATTTTAAATAAAAAATGTAAATGAGATTTTGAATAAAAATGTTTATTAGCACTTTTTGTGTAGAATAAACCGTTCTTTCAGAACCACCGTTGAAGCAACTTATGATTTTGAATATTAGTTCCGCATTGAAATCAATGTTAAATAACAATTGTATCACCTTGACGGTAAAAAATCAATATATTTTAATCAGGGTGTCCTATCGACAAAATGCGTTTTTTTTTTGTCTGTCTGCGATAAAGATCCAGAACAAGATTCCTAGATAACATAGACCAAGATATAAGAAATATGGAAATACGTGCTTGGCGTAGGAAGGCGATGAATAGGGACGACTGGAAGAGAATTCTTGGACAGGCTAGGACCCACACAGGGTTGTAAAGCCAAAATGATGATGATGGGATCTCAAGTCGTAGTGACATATAAACCAAAAAAAAAATGCATGTGCACTTACAGAACATGCAATAACGTTGAAACATGAATGTAATTTTAAAGATTCCCGTATTTTGGCAAAAGAAAAAAAAGCATTCAAAACGAGTTTTCTTTTCTTGGAAATGTGTTTCATAAAATATAGTACGTCTGGTATACATAAAAAGTCTGACATAGATAAACTGAGCAACATTTATTGTTATTTACTAGAAAGACATCAAAAATCAAATAAACATTTACCTCTAAATATACACGCCATAATATACCTGTATGCATAACATGTTGCATACCATTAAGACAAGTTTATTATATTACATCCATTATTACAATATTAAGAACACATAATTACATTTGAATAATTTTGATTTTTCTTTCTGTTCTCTATGTATTAGAGTTAAAAAACGCCATTAAAAAATGTCATAAACCAAGTTTTACTATACTTACCTAAATTTTAAAAATTTTAGAATGTATTTTGTCCATTATTTTTGTTTTATATGTGTATTATTATTGTTAAGTGTCAAAGCTTTTCATAATAATCTCAACGACTAGTAAGTTGCACTGACATTCTTCTTATTACAGTGTCTTAAAAAAGGAATAAAACAATTCCGAACGCTAGACAAAAAGTCAAAAGAGTGTTTCTTTTACATGCCGGCCAAACTTCTGACTGCAACACTAATAAACTTTGTTGTTTTTATGTATCGACATTTACTAATATGCGATATTTCTTATATATATATTATATATATATATATATATATATATATATATATATATATATATATATATATATATATATATAGGTTTAAAAGATTATATAAATAAACATAAATATCGCACAAGTTTCCAATTTTACTAAAAGATTTCCAAGTATTAAATCCTAAGTGCTTATTTTCCTCTACTAGTCTTATAGTCTAACCCACTTACCACAAATCGGGACAAGATGTCAAAAGTAAATAACGACCCAAGTAAACTACATTGCAAAACAAAATTCCCAGTTTGCACCCTAAAATTAAGTGGTAGTTATCCACTTATGTCTTCATTTTCTCTGCAACCCCCGAAATAGGAGGGTGAAACAAACTAAAGTTGATGAAGATAAAATCGATTAACCTAACGACAACGGTACATATCAAAAGGGACTTTTCGCTGTATATCATTTCTCCTAGGGGACGATCTGGCTTATGATAACAAGGGGAAAACATTTTTAAAGGGTAACGGATAAATTACTTATCGACCAATTACTTTGTGATATATTTGCGTTATAAAAGCATGAATATGTTAGGATGCTTTTCATATAATAAATGATACATACATAATAACAAAAATTGTTACAAAAATACAAAAATTACTTTAAAATTTGTTCTTGAAATTTAATGTCAAAAAGAAGTATAAAAATAATAAAATCAGGTAATATTGGCCTTAGTTTTACGTTCATAATGCTTCTCATCTATATAGTTAGCCTCAGAGATAGATCGCCCATAGATGGTCGACATCGATTTCAAATAAATACCGCTTTTGGTCCGAAAAAATTTGACTAGTACCAAACTAATATGTTTTTAACCAAATAGTATGTAGCGATAAGACTACCAAAGAAAATTGAAATACTATTATAAAAATAATACCGCAATCAACCATGGGAGCTTATCGTCTGTGCTTTGCATAGCTCAGTATCTCAAGTGTGAGTTCGTCTTGTCTTAAACTAGGAATTAAACCATGAATCCTTAGCTGATAGCAAATAAAACAATTATTAATGAATCATATTTATTAAAATTAGGAAACAATCAACCCTGCCAATGCTTTACAATGAATACAATGTGGATAATACTTATGGCATCAATGGGATACTTTCTACCAATTATCTGCTGCCTTTCAGTTAGGTAATTAGGCCCTCCTGACAGCGGCAGTTAGGTCCATATTATATTCTGAAATTTCCCATAGTCTTCTATACAGCCAATATTCTTCAATACAACCAACAAAACTTGAATTCTGCAAATAAATACAGCCAATAAACTAAAATATCAGACATAGCTTGTATTAGCGACACATTAAAAAGGGTTTAATTTCCTTGACATTTACCAAATCACAATTAAACAAATAGCAGATGGCAAGGATAAAATGAAATATAATTATTATTACTTAGTTAAATTCGTTTAAGATTCCTATATGCATATAACTAAAAAACGTGCTATGGAAAGAAATGAGGTTACGATTACGAATATTGAAAATGCTGTCAGAAATATAGAATAAAGATTACAATGAAAGTATTCACTCCAAGAGAATTCGGCAGACCATAAAATAAAGCTTATAACAATTTTTGCCTTCTTTTATAAATTTTATGTATAGACAAAAACGATGATTGACGGAAAATAAGTGGGAGATTGAAATGAAGTTAACACAGATGCCATAGGATGGAATTAGCTTTTCAGTCAACACATAACAGAATACTTAGTCTTCTAGACAGAGATAGAGAAGGAAAATATTTATTCTACCGGAAAGAAAGAGAAAGAAAAGAAATAAAGAGGTCGCCAACTACTTTTTGAAGAAAATATAGTAAAAACGAA